TCTTGACTTCTTTTCCAAAGAGAAAAAAATTGTTTTCGGTGATTTTGTCCCCTCTGGTTTTTTCTCTCTCAATTTCATTTATGTGGGTTCGTCAGTCATCAGGGACCTTTCTTGGAATAAACACATCCTCTTCCTTTTTTGTCTTTTTTAATAAGTAACAATTTTTTTTTATCTGTTGTCGGCATCTTGCTCCTTGTTTTTAAGTTGATTGATATGTCTGCATCGAACCGTGAAACCAAGCATGTAAATACAGCTGCCCATCTCTTAGCATTCTGCATACGTAACATTAATTTTTGCTGTTTATTATAGGATTTGACCAACATGACCTAGATAGTGGGGCAAGGAAGACAAAGCACAAGGGAAAAAATGTTGTATGGTCTCCGGCAATGGACAAGTGTTTGATTGAAGCACTTTCTATTCAAGCAAGAAATGGAAATAAAGTTGACAAATGCTTCAATGAAAATGCATATAATGCTGCTTGTGTTGCCGTTAATTCTCATTTCAGCTTGTCCTTAAATAACCAAAAGGTTGTTAATCGTCTTAAGACAATCAAAAAGAGGTACAACACAATAAGGAATATCCTCAGTCAAGAGGGATTCTCTTGGAATCCCAATACAAATACAATAGACTGTGAAGATGATGATCTTTGGAAGAGATACGTTGCTGTAAGTTTTAGCTTGTTATGCCCACTTAATGTTCTGAACTTTGTATTAATTATTTTCTTTGTGTTTTGATGTTTCCCCTTTTTATTTACCTCTCTAAGTTCTCCATATAACATATTTTTTAAGTCCGTCTGCTAGTTTGATGCCTTTAAATATTATCTAATATGTTATCAGGCACACCCTGATGCTAGGACCTTTCGAGGAAAGCAGATAACCATGTATGAAGAAATGAAAATAGTATGTGGAAATTATCAAGCTCATAGCCGCTGGGCAAGAATGCCAGGCAAAGTGAACGGAAATCCAGTGATAGAGTGCAAGTATGAACAAGAGTCTGCATCATATCTTTCAGCAAGTTCAGAGCATATGAACGATTCAGATGGAACCGAGACACAGTCCTCTGCCAAAGAACCAGTATATACTGAAATGCTTGCTAATAATGAAGATGAAGATGAGCCTGAAGCTCAACCCGAGGGGCAAGCTGCAAAACGGACTCGTAGCTCGGAGACACTGCAGGATGCAATGTTGGCGATAGCCTCAAGCATCCGACACCTAGCTGACACAATCGAGCAAAGCAAGTACACCATTGACACCCCTGCTCTTCTGCAAGCTGTGATGGAAATCGAAGGTCTGGAAGAATCAAAGCAAATGTACGCCTTTGAGTTTTTGAATGAGGATCCTACCAAAGCGAGAGCCTTCATGGCATACAATAGAAGACTCAGACGAATATATTTGTTTCGACTGTTTGGATGGTGGAGATAATGTTTAGATGATCTGTTCTACTACTTGTTGGTCCTCTCTTTTTGATGGATGAGTCCATTATATTTACTCTTTCCAAATTTTGTTGTGGAGTATTCACTGAAGAGAATGCTGTCCATACATAAGAAGTGTACCCATATGTATTCAAAGCTGACACAGAATTGTATAGGAATGTTGTACTATGATCCTTGTGTTGCTTAACTCCAAACATTTTATCAAATAACTTGGCAACTTTGTACCACAAAAGATATGGTGCCTTTTTGTTATGAAGAAATTTCCTTTTTCACTGGATTCCACTTGTGATGTGTACCATTTATATATTCCATGTGCATCTTTTTTGGCGTAATACATTGGCAGCTCCCTTCACTTGTCATTTAGATACTCAATGTTCTCGAACGTCTATTAAGTAATTGAGTTAACCACATAAGTCTATTAAGTAATTTAGTTATCATCTTCTTTGAGTATACACATCGGCGTCAATTAGGTTTTACGGCTTCTTGATACTTATAACTAAAGGAATTGAAATATTTTAAATAGTTAATTTATCTACGTATGGACACTTGGAAACATGTAGATACATACTAAAAAAAATTCAAAAAACACTCGAGTATTTGTGCAGGTGTTCAATTAAAAACAAAGCGTAGTTATAGTATTTAAATGAAATTTGCTAGAAAAATTAATTAAGAGGCCTATTTCTTCCTTTCCTAATTATAAGTTAGTATGCTAGTTAATTTCATTACTTGTGAAATCCTACTAATTAATTAGCTTATAAGATCTATCTTTAACTAGCTTCTTAAATAGAGATGGAATTATCTTTAGTCCCTTGATAATACTTAATTCAATGCAATTAAGAAATCTTATCCTCTTTTAATCTTTCACTTTCAAAACCCATTAATCTTATATTTTAATTTAACATATATAGATGATTAGTGCATAACATATACTAATAGTTCATCTGCAAAAAATATTGGTTCTGTCCTCATTTATCCTTGAGCCATTGTAAATGATAACTCCATATTATTTGTGTTCAAAATGGAATGTATACATTTGTCAGATCATGCTCAGCATTTACCTAAGTTTTAATGGAAAAGGTTAGAATCCTACTCAACAATATTTGTCATATCATACTCAACATTTAGTCTATGTCCTAAAGCTTTAATTATTGGGTATGAGTCCTCTTAAAGTTTGTATTGTTGGGTTATTATTGGAGTAGTATATATGCATCTTGCAGAGTTTGACAAAAATACAGATCATATGTACCAACAGGAGAAAAGGTCATTACAATAACTATAATTACTACGTACATCTCAGTCTCAAATAAACTGAAATGCGAAATAAGTAGTAATAATGATGCTCCAAATATAATTTACGTGTTTGAAACATTTCCATTACATGACAACTATTGACAAGTAAACTTTTTTTTTTCCAGTTGAAAACTAGATCAAATTATAGACTACATGGAATAAGATTAGCCTTCTAGAATTACCTAAAATAGAGAGCCAAGAAAATGTACATTTCACAATATTTGATCATGTGTTAGCTTCTTGTTTCTCAGTATACACGTACCCAAGAAGACTTTTCTTCACAAGAAAAATGACCAAATTAAGGAATAGTTTTCCCAATTTCTAGACAACTAATTGCAACAAATTTCAAAAGTGGAAAATAAATTAACCATAAATAAAATTTGAAGAAACAAGAATATTATTGATAAAATACATCGGTATGGATATAACTCTGTCCCTCCCTGATTTCTTTATGAATATTTCATGAATTTATGAAATTTTCGATATATTATATTTTATACAGGCATCAGATATATGGTTTATAGTGAAATAACCTTCAAGAATCTTAATTGAAATTGAACACGGTTGGAATACCACAAAATTTCAATGTCTACAATTGACAAATCAAATGGTAGGTACCAGGGGCGGCTGGTTAGGCTTAAGGAAAAGTCCTTGGCCTTAGGCCCCCAATTTTAGATGGCCCCATTTTTTAGTTAATTAGGTAAGATTAAATTTTAAAAATAAAATAAAATGAAGACAATAATAAATGCAAACGGTTGGGAAAAAAATGCAGACGGTCGAAGTGATATATATGAGTTATGACTATGACTTTTTAACTTTCCAATAAAAAGTTGTGTACTTTTTTCTTAATGTACAAGTTACTTTTTTTTCTAATTTTATTTTTATATATTTTATCCTCCCCCTTCCTCTCTTCTATTTATTCTCATTTCTCTTCTCTAAATTCTAATTTTACATCTCTCTTATTCAAAGCTTAAGAATTTACTTGTTCTATTGATAATTTATATTTTAAATTTGGAGAAAAATATATTGCAGCAGCCCGAATCATTTAGAGCTGATTACTTCTTATACATAGTAGACCAAGCCATCTTTTCACTTCAAAATAGATTTGAACAGTTTGAAATATATGAAAATATTTTTGGTTTTCTATTTAGTGGGAAGAAATTGAGATCATTTG